TTTTTAATAGAATTGCATTTTTGTTACTAATTTTAAAAATTAACAAATTATCTCATTATTTTATCTTCTTTTTCTTATTGGAATTTTCATTTTGATTCTTGCTCTGGTCATAATCTACTCATTCCTCCCTTACCTTAATGCTTTTTAAATGTTTATTCTATTATTATCCTTTCCTAGTTGCATTTTACCTTCAAATTATGACTTCTAAATACCCCTCAATCTCTAGGTGGTCTGAAAATCTAGGCTTAAAAAATATACAATAAGTGAAACACGGTATGCTTAAAAGAATCAGCAATATATAAATAAAACTACTAATTCTGAAATTATGACCCTTAAAAGTCAAAAGCAGCAGTTCTACATTGTAATTTCATTTTCCATTTGTATTGGCATGGAATCATAAAGTCATTAAACTTTTCTCAGAAATTTATACACAAAGTTTAAAAAGTTTGAAAACACACCATTAAGTTAAGCCATGTCAGTACAATATTAAGATAATCAAGTGAGAAGTGGGGAAAATTAGGCAAAAATACTAATTGTCAAACATGTCTCTAAATTAGTATCTCAGTAGAAATCAGCTTTTCTTTAAAAGCCACCCTCTTTAGTTGATATGGGGATACACTGTGTGGTCAAAATTAAAATTACAGGGCCTTACAAATGTAACTCTCTGGTGCAGAGTGTTGATAGTGGAGGATGATATATGCGTGTATTGGGGGGAGAGGTCAAAGGGTATATGGGTATTGTACTTTCCATTCAGTTTTGCTGTGAGCCTAAAACTGCTCTAAAAAATAAAGTCTACTATTATTATCATATAATAAATACAGGGCCAAGCAATTAAACTGATCAAAATACAATCCTAGAAATTTGGGTTGTTATTCAATAGTAATAAGACCATGGCAAGGAATATATGTTCTGACATGAGTGGAAGTGTTAAAGCTATTAGTTTTTTACCTTCCAAAAGAATACTTTCTATTAAAATATAAACTTTGGATAATTCTTGACTTAAAAGAATGGCAGATCTGTGATACATTCTAGAAGAGCTCAGAAAAAAAATTTTAATGTAAGAAATAAAAACTGTTCCAAATTAGTTTTAAAATCACTAAAATATCAATTAGCTTTTGCTGTAAAGATAAGTTTTTTCTGCTACAAATAAAAGAATATATGTGATTAATTGGTCCAATTTAATGTATTTGTTAGCATGGGTAATTTTGGGTGATTCAGATATGCAAACATACTAATATGTTCATATGGCTTAATTATCTATATTCTTTAATAATAAAAAGAAATGGAAAGAAAATAAAAAAAGTTCTGCTTGGCTGCTTCCATGGGAGAGCCTCTTTTACTCCTCTCCCTCTTCTCCCCAGATAGGCTAGAAAAAGGAGAAAAAAGGAGACAGGCAATAAATAGGCATAAATATGGAAGCAACCTAAATGTCTATCATTGATGGATGAAGAAAATGTGCCATATATACAATGAAATATTATGCTGCCATAAAAAAGGACATCCTGTCATTTGCAGTAACATGGATGACCTTGAGTGCATTATGCTAAGAGAAATGAATCAGAGTAAGACAAATACCATATGATCTCACTTATATGTAGAACACAAACAAACAAACCAAGCGCATATAGATACAGACAACAGATTAGTGGTTGCCAGAGGCAGGGGTTGGGGGCAGGGTGTGGTGAGCAAAATTGGTGAAGATAGTCAACAGGTATAAACCTCCAGTTATAAAATAAGTAACTCCTGGGGATGTTAGGATATAAGGTGATTAGAGTTAATAATACTATACTGTATATTTGAAAGTTGCTAAGAGAGTAGATCTTAAAAGTTCTCATCACAAAAAAAATGTGTAACTATGTGTGGCAATGGATGTTAACTAGACTTGGTAGACGCTAGAGTAGTAATCATTTTGCAATATATACATATATTAAATCATTATGTTGTACACCCAAAACTAATATAATGTATGTCAATTATATCTCAATATTTAAAAAAGAGATAAATACAAGAAAAAAGAAAAGAAAAAGGAGAGAGACCCAAGGAAAGAAAAAAGGACCAATAGCTTTCTTCTTTCCTGGCAACTGGCAATAACAAAGAAAGAGACAAGGGGAAAAAAGGAATATTCCTTAAAGTTCATGTTTCCTGTCCCTTCTCCTTCCCCAGCTCTCATTATCACTGTCTTAAAGTTGCATATTCCATGTTCCTACTGTGTGATACAGTTCAGCGTCTGGGAAGAAATCCTTCCTCCTGGGAGGGTTGGTGTAGTAAGGGAGTGGTAAGGATATAGGTGGAACAGGAAACAATGTAGAGGTTCATCAAATCAAGAAACAGTTTTCACACAGTCATAAACTAAACCTACATCCTATGCTTCAGAAACATTATGGGATGAAAGGCTTTTGTGGGTCACCCTGGAATCTACAAACCCTTTAACATTGTTTCTGCAAAAATTAATGTATAAATAAATTAAATTTTGTTAAAATTTATATAATTGATATATAAATGGAATAAATATAATTTATATATAAACAAATTTAAAAATCCATTATAATTTGAGAATTGTCTATATATTTAACAGCTATCACAAAGTTACCTATCTTCCCCACAAGAAGCCAGTGTTGGTTAGAGAGCTCAGAATAAATAAGGTGTTCAAAGTAGGAATCAGCATCACAAAGAAGGAAAACAATAGTTTTTAATTCAACAGGACAGGTAACAGTGAAAAATACTCTGGTTAGGAAAACCAAGACTACCGTAAAAAGGGAGAATGCAACCTACCTGTGGAGATAAATAAGTATCTTAGAGTAGGAGTATTTTGGTCATTGGATAAAGGGAATTCACACTACGGAAGAGTGGTAAACAAGATAAGCCTATTCTGCATCTGTTCCATGAACCTGACTTGCTTTTTTATAGTTCATTCTCTTCTAAATCCTCATCTGTGACTTTTTTTGTCACCATAGAGTTGCCCAAGTGTTAGAGTTTTGAAGGGTGGAATGAGTGTAAGGGGATAGGTGATAAGGAAGATTACTTTAATGAGGCTATAGCCTTAAAACACAGGACCAATCCCTCAAGTGGTAGCCAAAATGGAATCTGGAAGATACGTAAGAATCTAATAGATAAAACATATTCAAGTAGTCTTCGCTCTTATTTTGGTAATTTATTCCTATAAAATATTTCTAGAAAATTGCTTCTATTTTACTGCAGGGTAAACATCTTGTTCTGTTAAATGCATGCATGGACACATATGCACACCTCTTTCTCACATACACATGCCCACACATACAATCAATGTGTGCTCACACACACATACAATCAAATTTCAATATTTCACATTTTTAACTGCAGAACCTCTATATTTTTTTCTAATTCCCCACACAATCACCTAAGGAGCAAGAAGGGAATGTGGAAAATGAATTAAAATTCATTCTTGCATTTTCTGTAGGCGTTTGGGAGCAATTATGGCCACAGTGACCTATATGATCTGGTTCATTGCCTTTGTGCCTGTTTTCACCTCTTAATGCCAAAACAGAAAACTGATCTCTAGGATGCCACCATACTAATTAAATGACTTTTGACCTATAATCTAGTCCCATTCAGTAGCATAGTTTTCACTGAAGAAACTAAAGTATGTTTAGACTCTGTATGTTTTAAATCGTAGCATCATTTGCCTTGCTAATGGCAAACATTACCACCTCTTTTATGCCTTCCTAAAGAAATTTCAAGAATTGTCACACTTCTTTAAAAAATAAAATGACTGAAAACGATTATTGGTTAAGCTGGAACTTTCTATCATCATTCCCTTGTGACATACTATTTCTTAGAACTCTTAAGTAGGAACAATGTTCTCATCATCAACTTTCTCTTTCACCATGAATAATATTCTCACTTTTGCATTTTCTCTGCAGAGACCATAGAGACAACTGAAACCAAATATACCAAAAGGAGCTACATTTTCAACACAGTTTACAGGAAGAAGAAAATAGAGTAATATATGTGTTTGCTTGGGGCAGTGGTTTTTTGCTTCTTGTCCTATAACTGATTACCTTCTGAGGGAGGCGATAGTAACTTACACTGATCTTGCCACTACAATAACACTTGTAGGTAGGAGGGGAGTTATAAAAAGAATAAGAAATTAAATTAAAATAATAAATTATAAGAAAGGGAGAGAAGTGTGAAAGCATTGAGAAGGCCATGATAAATAAAATTAATTTCCTGTGGAATTTTTCAGTAATAAAATGAAGCAGTCAAGGAGGAATATTAAAACAAACAGTCCTGGAAGAAAATTAACATCCAGGAAATAGAAAGGCCTAGCTAGAGTTGCCATCAATACAATGGCATTCTTGACCAGGAAGTACAAAAAAAAATGTCAAAGTCCCTATTAGTTGTTCTACTTCAATATGCAAGTTTACTTGCCAAAGAGTTAGGTGAGAAATAAGAAACACTAAAGAATATTTGCAAATAGTTTTGAATAGAAACCCATGTGTGAATAATTTTAACATGCATTTTCCTACTCTCCTATTCTATTGAAATAAAATTTAAAAACCAACACAATGTTTTTTGTTTTTTTGTTTTTTTGTTTTTTTTAAAGATTTTATTTATTTGACAGAGAAAGACACAGCGAGAGAGGGAACACAAACGGGGAGCGGGAGAGGGAGAAGCAGACTCCCTGCCGAGCAGGGAGCCCGATGCGGGACTCGATCCAGGGACTCCAGGATCATGACCTGAGCCGAAGGCAGTCGCTTAACCAACTGAGCCACCCAGGCGCCCAAAAAACCAACACAATGTTTAAATAAATTTTCATTCATATATGTAACATAAGGGGCTATATTTGCCTTACTGCTTATCACTTGTGGATAATAATTTAGGAATTAAAGGTGATCCAACAGCTCTTTCTTCCATGCCACCACAATGTTATTTACTAAATTAGAAGGTATAGCACTGAAGGTAAAGACAAAAATGTGATAGAATCAATAATCCTCTAATTTGAAGACTTTTTTATTTCTTACCATGTCTTTTCCACCTGTGACCTCTTATTGACATGCTGGTTACTGCATTTCTTGATATTCTAGAGGAAGTTGGTGTGATTTCAACTTGAATACACCTTGTACCCTCCTTACTAGATTTCATGGCACCATGAGGCAATGAAGCCTTTATGGCATTAGCCACCTAAGAAAAAAAATATATGGTTTAAGATGGGTATTAACAGATGTGTTACACCCTTACATAAAACAAAATGCCAAATTTTAACAGGTTTTTAAGAAGAATACTTTTCCAAGGTATTTCATAGGATGATATATAAATCTTCTAGAATAAGGAGTAAGAGCTCAGAAGGAAACTATACTTAAAAATAATATGTAAATGATGAAATTTAAAATTCCAAAATATTGAACTTATGTTTCCAAATGCCTAATGCTAATTAACCAACTGAGCCACCCAGGCGCCCCTTGCCTAATGCTAATTAATAAATGCAGCTCTATCATGTTAAGAAGAACATTCTTACAAGTTTAAAAGACTATTATCAGGTATCTAAGAAGTTGGCTTAATGAAATTCTCAAATTATATACACCTTTTCAAGCATAAAATTTTCCTAGTACAACAGAAGCATGAATCACTGAGTTTAATGACACTAATGCACTATGAATGGCTACTTCTCAATTTATAGTTCTAAATTGAGAAATTTTATTACATAAACAAGTGAGGCACCTACCAGCAATGGCTCTGGATATAATTCTAGCTGAGCTCTGTATATAATGTCATCCAATGCTTTTTGAGCTAGATCCCATTCTCCATTATAACTGTAAAATTAAATAAAGAAAGTAATATTATTTTCAATTAATTCTATATATTTGAACAAAATACAATGAGAAGCTGTTTACTGAGTAAAGTAATAGATCACATTAGCATTCCACCCTCCTTAAAAACATATTTTTATATCTTTGAATTCCTTTCAATTGTATCTGAAAGCCTATTAACAGCAAAGAAAATTCTATAGATATATATTTCTTCTCTAAAGAACATGTCTATTTATAGACCAGATATCAAAAAAGTGAGGCAATTTCAAAGCATTCTACACTTTTAAAGCAAGTCAGAGCATAATAAATTATATACCTTAGAATAATGTTCAGAACACTTTATGGTCAAATTATTCTGTAACTCCCACAGTTTTTAATGAGAATTTACAACTACTGTGGCTTACAGTATCTTAAATAGTTACGTCTTTGCATTCTGACAGTCATTTAGAAGTGTACATGATATATGTTGCAAATATCAGATATTGGGGGAAAAAGTGTGTATGTATATTAATTTTCAAAGATAAGACCAAAGTCTAAAAACTAGGTAAATGATAAAAATGGACAGAGAAATAATGTCTTGGTCATCTGCCAACAAAAATAAAGAAATGAATTATATCGAGAGTGCAAATGAGTCCTAAAAAATGGAAAGAGCATTGCTCCCACCCTAAAAATAAAGTCAGATAATCTATAAAATCATAGCTTTCCATTAATCCAGCAAGGAACTAAAATCACAACGCAGCCAAGTAGCCTGAAACCTAAGGGCAGACAGATGCCTCTAAAGAGAGATAGACCACAATGCAAGCAGGTAAGAAGACTTCATTCAGCTAAGCTTTTTAAAAAAATCTTGATTCATATTTTCACAAAAATATGCTGATTGTCTATCCAACAAGTTTATAATATAATAACAATAAAACAACAGACTATGATATTTCAAAGAGATCAAAGATTTACTTTGTATATCTTTGGGAATATATATATATATATATTTGATATATATATCAAAGGGAAGCTCACACCCAGTTACAAGTTCTTTTCCACAAACCTCCTCTAGGCACTCATAAGAAAAACTGGGGGCAAGGCGCGGGACCAGAGAAAGCTGCTCTTGGTAGTTCAGGCCTGAAGGAGAAGAGCAGCCACCTGACCAAGAAAGGCCTGATGATCCAGCCAAACCTTTTTCTCATGTGAAATAAGTTTTAAAGCCTTTGGGGAAAGAGCAGCAAACCCTCTCACCCCAAGGGCAGAGGTGTAGACTGCCTGTGGCTGTGAGGGAAAGAAAAAGAAAAAAAAAAAAAACCTCTACCTGTGGGAAAGGATCAGGAAACTGTCCTATGTTGAGACCACTAAAGGTCTCTTACCACTGGAGGAGGGACAGGACCACTGAAAAGCTACCCTCTTCCCCCAACCCCAGATACAGGGACATAGGTCCTGCTTATAAGTGATGCTGGCCAGGACAACAGAGAACACCACTCCCCCCAAGCCCCCACCCAGGCCAGTACACATTCAGAAACAAGCAATGGCACTCTATTGCTGAAGGAGGGGAAAAGAACATGTAGAAAGACTGTTTCTTTGGTGCAGACACACAGGGAAAGCTAAAAGCAGAGAAGGAACAAGAATATTGAGAAAAACCCTCCAGCAATCCAGCTCACACCCTAACTGCCAGGTACCACGAGAGGAATCTGAAGTAGGTGGTACCATGAAGGTAACCATAGCAACCACAAAATCCAACCTCAGCTCACTCCTGCCTATAATAACTCCACTAGAAGCCTAGAAGAAAAGAGGCGTGCCATTTCCAGGCATAAATAATATTTACCTCAGCCACTACTGTTCTATCCATGAACAAAATGATAATCAATCAAATTTTACAAGGCACACAAAAAGCAAGAAGAAAGCAACCCACTGTCAAGAGACAAAGAACAATAGAACCAAATTCAGAAATGATCCAGATTTTATAGTTATCAGGGAAATTAAAATAATTATGATTAAAATATTAAAAGCTCTAGTGGAAAAGATGGAAAACATGTATGAACAGATGGTGATTTCAGCAGAGATGGGAACCATAAGAAAGAGTCAAATGAAAAGACTAGAAATAAAACACAGTAACAGAAATGAAGAACCCTGTCAGTGGGCTCATTAATAGACTCAACATCATCAAGAAAAGAATGAATGAATGTGAAGATAGGTCAACAGAAATTATGAAATCTGAAACACAAAGCAATAAAGACAGAAAATAAAACAGATCAGAGCATCCAAGAGCTGCAGGACAATATTAATGGTCTAACATGAGGGTCAATAAATTTTTTTCTTCAAGGGCTAGGTAATAAATATTTTAGGCTTGTGGGCCATACAATCTCTATTGCAACTACTCATCTCTGTCACTGTAGCACAAAATCAGCCATAGGCAATATGTAAACTGGTGTAAGTGTATATTAATAAAACTTTTAAGAAAATAGGCAGCAGGCCATATTTAGTCCAAAGATTATAAATTCTACCTTCAGTCAAGAAGCTTACAATCTACTAAGAAAAATTAAGGTATCAAATGAATATAATGCAAAGTATAATAAGATATGTGTAGTAGAAGATAGGGTTCAAAGAAAAATACTAGTATCTAAGGCATTAAGTAAGACTGAGCATTAATATTAGAAATTAATAATTAATAATAAGCTACTTGTGATCAAAGAGGCTCTAAGATGTTTTTCAAGAGTTAAAATTTCTGGAAATGGAAAAAGGTCTTTATTGGGGAAAAAAAACTATTTGGAAATTACAGCAAAAAAAAAAAAGTAATGAAGAAAGAAACTGAGTATATGTGGGTGTTGCTAATTTTCATTCTGTCCTTGAGTTAAAGAAAGATAAAATGTTTTAGTTGGTAACAAATTCTTCAGAACATTAAGCGATATATTTTAAGTAATAAAACTATTAGCAAGATCTAGATTCATATTCGGGGTGCCTGGGTGGCTCAGTCAGTTAAGTGTCTGACTTTGGCTTAGGTCATGATCTCAAGGTCCTGGAATCAAGCCCTGTGTCAGACTCCCTGCTCAGCAGGGAGTCTGCTTGTCCCTCTCCCACTACCCCTCCCCCTGCTTACACTCTCTGTCACTCTTTCAAATGATAAATAAAATCTTTAAAAAAAAAAAATCTTGATTCATATTTTCACAAAAATATGCTGATTGTCTATCCAACAAGTTTATAATATAATAACAATAAAACAACAGACTATGATATTTCAAAGAGATCAAAGATTTACTTTGTATATTAAATAAACTTACAAGGCAAAATAAATCCCTGTTAACATTTGCACCATGAATCCTGAAGAAACTGGTATCCTGCTACTTATACCTTTGTATTTTCTTACATGTTGTCGGGGATAGCCACAAACACAGATTCTAGAAAAAACAAAATAAATATATGTGTAAAATTGGTAAAAATTTAGGTAATTTATTTTTTAACATTTATTTTTTATTTTTTTTAAGATTTATTTATTTATTTGAGAGAGCGAGAATGAGAGAGAGAGAGTACATGAGAGGGGGGAGGGTCAGAGGGAGAAGCAGGCTCCTCGCTGAGGAGGGAGCCCGATGTGGGACTTGATCCCGGGACTCCGGGATCATGACCCGAGCCAAAGGCAGTCGCTTAACCAACTGAGCCACCCAGGCGCCCTATTTTTTAACATTTATAAGCCAATAATATACTAGGTATGCTCTCATACAAACCTAACAGCTATGAAACACAGAATCTTTCCAAACAGAACATTTGCCTGTAACATTTTCCTGAGTCAGTGAAACTGGGGGACAAAATGTATAAAGCTAGAGGTATATTACTATATAGTAAGTGAACCAGATTCTCAGAGTTGCTTCACTAATTTCAGTCAATTCAATAATTAATAATTTATAGTTACCATAAAACCCATTATATGAAACTTGGTATTATTTATCATAAATAGATCTATGATATGATCTTCTATTGCTGACAAAGTTCTTGACACAAATTGCAGGCTCCAAGAAAATACTCTAAAATTAGACTCAAGCCCCATATAATACATCATAATAAATTTCAGATAGATTGAAATTTTTAATGTTAAAAAGAAATAAAACATAAGCAAATCACTACATATTCTTTGCAAGTTTAAACATGACATCAAAGGTAGAATCCTAAAGAAAAACCAATAAATCTTACTAATTTTTTTAAAAGAAACTACCATGAACACAACTGAAATTCAAAGTATTTATTATAGTGAAGGATATTTAAGGAGTACTAACGTTAAGGTGTATTTACTATAGTAAATAGGAAGCCACCTAAAAGTCCAACACAGAGGACCAATTATATAAATAATTCAGGGAATACTATGAAACAATTAAACATGATGTTTAGATGGCAGGGGGAGAAAAACTGTACAGAATAAAGCATGAAACCCACTCCCATTTTGTAATAAACAAATAGGTGAATGTTGTTTGCCACAACAAAAAGATCATATACAAAGTCATAGAGTGAGATTATAGACTTATTTTCTTCTTTATATATATTTTCTAAATTTTCTATGATCAACATGCACTGCTTTTAAAATAATAAGTTTCTAATTTTAGTAAAACTAGGAAAAAGTTGTTTTCTCATAATGTGTTGTGGTTGATATAATAAACCTTCACTTAATATAGTACTAGTCAATAGACTGAATCTAAGCCTTCATTTAAACATACAAGTATACCACAGACCATTTCAAAAAAAGACCCTTGAGAATATCATTAATTCAAAGTAACTTTAAAGCAAAAATAAAAATTCATTTCATATTGAGAAGATCTTAGAACTCTTTAGAACCAAGAGTAAAAAGGAGCAGGGATATTTATGGACTGAATATTTGTGTTTCCCCCCAAGTTCATATGCTGAAGCCCTAATACGATGATATTTGGTGGCGGGACCCTCGGTCTAAATGAGGTCACAAGGATGGGAGCCTCCATGGTGGGTTTAGTGCCCTTATTCAAAGAGGAAGAGAGACCAGAACTCACTCTCTGCCATGTGAAGGACATACGGAGGAAGGCAGTTTCTTGTAAGCCAGGAGGAGGGCCTTCACCAGGAATCAAATCTGCTGGTTACCTGACCTTAGATTGTTCAGCCAGAAGTGTAAGAAATAAACATCTATTGTTTAAGCTACCTAGCCTATGGTATTTTGTTAGGGCAGCCTGAGATGACTAAAATAAACACTGAAAAAAAATTAACTGTATATGAAATAAAACCAACTTGAATTTTGTTTCATATTACAAATACTTATATCCAAACTAGACCAGAAACTCCTCTTATTATCTAAAAAAGGAAACTCAGAAAAATTTTTATTTTCTTACACCATATATACATTTATGATAGAGATGGTAGTAAGTAACAGAGAGCCAATATATAAAAGATAGGATTTTTTCAATTAATTCATTTATTCACTCAGTAAATATTTTTAAAGATTTATAATGTGTCAGACACTAGGAATATAGATGAAAGATGTAGTTCCCTCAGGGATGCACAATCTAATCATGGAGACTGTAGTAAACAAGTATCTGCAATGAATAAGTTACAGAGGTAGCAAAAGGAGAGAGTGGTAAACTCTAGTGGAAGAAGTAGGTGGTCAGAGAAGGCTTCCTGGTGAAAATATAGGAATGGGAAAAAACAGAGAAGGATAAAACAGCATGACACCAAGGAAACTGGGACAATAATAGTAGGATAGAATGCTCGGACACTAGAAAATAACAGAGAAGCTAATTAGGGGTCAGATTATGGAGTATCTTATAACTTGCAAGGTTTTATCATGCAGGCAATGGAAAGTAACTGAATGTTTTTGTTTTATTGTTTTAACAAGGGAGTGACATGATCAGATTGATCTTTTGATAGTATCACTCAGGCTACATGGGAACAGTGTACTGAAACTGGAGGGGAGACTGTCGAAATATCCCATGAGGGAGATGAAGTAACTGTGGGGAGAACTAAAGAAGTAATTGTGGGAAGAAGGAGAAAGTCCCAGCTAGGAAGTATAATCATGGGGTGAGACTGAAGAAACAAGAGGAGTGTATAATTATTACCACATTTAGTTTGGATAGCTGGCTGGATGGTAGTGGTATTAAATGAACTTGGACAAATAAGACACACTGTTTTGGAAGACACTAAGTTTCTGATATGTTGATTTGAAGGTATAGATGTTACTTTTGTCTGCCATGACCTCTCCCGCTGCCACCAACGTCTTCTATTAATAGCACCTCTATCCCTCTTACCTTTAGGAAATAGTCTTCTCCTATGTCGTCAAGTATAATCATGTGATTGTGCTATAAATAAAATAACAAAATTACCTGTGACAAGAGGTCAATACCCTAACAACTATTTTTCCCTTCTTCCATTTAATAACATATATAAGGTACCTCTTCTCCACTCTCCCCAACCAATTTTAACTAGAACAATGGCTATCTACTAGAGATCACATTTCCTGGCCTTCCTTGCATCTAAGGGTGACCATGTAACTAGTTCTGGACACCAGTCTGCTAGCTGTAACTGCTAGCTTAAAAGCAGTTGCATGCCTTCCACTCTCTCTTTCTCCCTGCTTGTAGGATATGGAAAGCAGATTAAAAATCGTGATCCATCACCATACAGACAAGGGTACCATCCTAGGGAATGGGAGAATCTCAACAAAAAAGGAGCCTGAACACCTTAGAAACAGAGCCAATCTACCCCCAGACCATCTACCAGCTTGGATTTTTATGTGAAAGAAAAAGAAATATCATTCAAGTTACCATTATTTATCTTTAAGAGCCAAACCAATATTTAAACCAATATTTAAGTACTCTTCCAATAACACTAACAAACATGACCCCAGATGGGTTTGTAGAAGCCTCAGGCTGGCAACATCCAAGTGTTTTTGCTGCCTGGTTTTTCACAGTAAAACTGGGAAAGAGGTTCTTTCTTCTGAGTTCATTAAAGGTAGATAATGTAAGTTTTTGGCTGCTTGTGGTCACTGTTCTTATCACACGGCGGAAACCTACTTACAGAAAAAAGTACAATGCCAACAGATGAAGAAGATGAGATGAGAGTTGGGAGAGAACATCCAGATAACAATTGAGCTTTTGGATCTAGTTGATACTGGGGCCAGTGCCATCCCTGCTCTTCCCAGGTAAAAAGAGCCAAAAAAATTTCCCTTTGGTATAATCTGGTTTTATGTAGATATCAGTTAGTTGCAGAAGGAGTTCTAACTTTTACAAGGTGTCTGTGGGACATCTTGATAGCGATGGCTACTGGATCAGATATATGGGTTTAGAAATCAGGAAATAAGTATAGGATGCAGGATAGAGGATATGGACAGAAAAATAAGTTATTGCTGTTAGTACACAATTTTTTTTTAAATCCAACTTTGCCATAGATCTAGAATTGTCAATCAACTTTTAAATTTACTTTAGGTAAGAACTAGAGAGACAATTCTCTCAAACACCAGCACACTTGCCAGATTCACAAGGGAAACAAGATTCCAGGTTCTCTGATTTTCTCTACTAGCTACCCATAAGGAAATAAGCAGTCATCTGTTAGAGGCTGTACTAAAACCTTTATTCAGAAATGCAAACGATTAGTCTTAGTCCTTCAGACTGCTATAACAAAATGCAACAAACGGGGTGGCCCCCTCTTTAGGGTTATAGACTTTCCGTTGTATCCTCAATGGCAGAAGGAACAAGGGAACTTTGTGGCATCTCTTGGCTATGAGAGCACCTCCTAATACCATCCTAATACCATAACACTAGGCATTAAGATTTCAACATATGGGGTGCCTGGGTGGTTCAGTTGGTTAAGCGACTGCCTTTGGCTCAGGTCATGATCATGGAGTCCTGGGATCGAGTCCCACATCAGGCTCCCTACTCGGTGGGGAGTCTGCTTCTACCTCTGACCCTCCCCCCCTCATGCTCTCTCTCTCTTTCTCAAATAAATAAATAAAATCTTTAAAAAAAAAGATTTCAACATATGAATTTTGGGGGGACACAAACATTCAGACCATAGCAGTTAGTTTTTTATAACTACTAGATCTTTACATATTTGTGGCAATTGACTGCAGGAATTTTGCATTTATCAATGTAAGACTTTTAAAAAGCAAAAACCGAATTATTTCCTTTAATCTTAGTTGTACTTGATGGATCATAAATCTGAAGTGGAACAGATCATCTATTTTTCATTCACTCAACAAATAGTTACTAGGTTTCTACCATATGCCAGGCACTTCTCCAAACTCTGAGGACACTGCAGGGAACAAAACATCAAAGTTCCGGACCTCATGAAGTTCCAGCAGTTGACAGACTATATATCCAAATGAACAAACCAGGTAATTATAGTGTTATAAATGCTAATAGAAAATAAACTGGGGTAAGAAGGTACAACTTTAGAA